AAAAAGGGATAAACATTTTCTCTTGCATGTTGATAGGGGTGTTAGGTGTAAAGAACAAAAGAAACCCTGACAACTGTATCCTGCTGCGGAGGTGCAGAAAATTCAGAGGGCACTAGAACTCTGATTTCACTACATGGGCAAGGCAGATGTAACCTCTGACTAAAGCAGCTTGGTAGAAAAGGTATACAGAAATATATTCAGATTTTTTTTCTTAAGATTCCCTGGTAGAAACTGTGTTTCACGTGATAGACCAGATAAATGCCTCATTAATGGTGATTAAGTGGCTGATGGACAATCAGATGAGTTTTATTGAGGAGGAATTTAGGATACCACATCAAAGCCCAGCCACAAAATCTGCCCTCACATCTTGTCAATCAGGATTGAACTGCAGTGTGTCAGACCCAGGGACAGCAGAGTGCTGGAGAGTGGCATGGCTCTGGCATGGGCTTGGAATGCCATGCAAATGGCTTGGGTTGAGGCAGTGAAGAATGTCAGTTTTGCGGCAGATGATTTGACTGATTTTTCCTGTTTTGATTATCAATTGCAACCAGTAAGGCAAAACTATAATAAATACAGGTATTTATGGGAATTATTTGAAAAAAAAAAAAAAGATGATGTTTTAGCTAGTAAGTGCATGACAGCTGTGTCTCTATTCCAGAAAGATTTTAAGAAAAGATGTCATAAATTTACTTTTGCCTTGAACTTGTATCTTTCAACATTGGAGTCTGATCCTTTGACAATTCAGATTCATTTGGAGAATAACTTGGAGGTAGCCATTATCTCAGGGGTTTTGTCCATTCCTAGGAAGTTCTTAGAATTTAACTCCATTAAATTGTTTAGGTAGTAAACTCTTCTAAATACATATTACATGGGGAATTGCCATTACAAGGGGACAATGGGAAAGTCCCATTTATGTGGGGAAGTGTGCCCAGGCTGCAGAGAGCCAGCAGGGCTGGCTGAGGAGCAGCACTCCTGGCTGCAGCACTCAGTGTGTGTTTCCCTGCAGCTGGCCTTCGCTCAGCACCAGGCAGAGATGGCCAAGATGGGGCAGTTTGACAAGGTCTGTGCTGAGAAGCTGGAGTGGTATGGAAGTCTCATGGGTAAGCTCTTGTCTTGCTACTTTGCAGTAGTAGTTAAGATCACAAAATATCACTCCATAGTATCCCAGGATACTCAGATTTCTTCATGGGTAGTACAGGGAATTCTCCTCAATACATTATTCCATGGTTTTACCCTTTTGCCATCCCCTAAGACTTTGTTTTCTAGGCCCTGGGAGGAGAGCTGATCACAGCACTGTACTTGGGGTATGTCATGGTGTTACTTCTTTTTCTTGTAACTTACCTGGTTCCCCAGTACCATTCAGTGCCATTTACTAAAGACAGGCAGGCAGAGTTCAGGGCAAGGATTTTTTTTTTCATGTATTACACGTGTGAATACAATTGATTTCAGGAATTGGATCTGTAATTGTTTATTCAGGTGTTACTATTTTACAGAGAAAGCTGATTTTTTTTTTTATTAGCTGTTATTTCTGTCCAGTGCCATAGCAGGCAGATGAAGGGTGGCAGCTCTTAAAGTGCTTGTTATGGTCTTCCCTGTGTAATTTCTTGAGTCTGTTGTTTTTGATTACATGTCAATGATTTATGTTCTGACTGCAGTAAAACCAAACTACAGAATCACTGATGTTATGAATCACTTGTTTATAATGTAAAGGTTCCCTTAAGAAGTAAGACTTCCTGCTTATAACTAAAACAGACCCTTGAATCCAGCAAGCAAAGGAGACAATTTCAATCTCCCTGCAGACTGGCAGATGAGCAATAACACAGAATGATGCTGTGTCAGTAGCTGTGAACACAGTGGCAAGTTCATCGTTTCCACAGATGAGACTTTTTTCCCTGAGGCTTCTGGGAACTGATCTCACCTAAAGAGCTTCCTTGATTATACATGGGAAAATTTCAGGTTCTTCTCTTTCTTTCCAGCCTTCCCTCCTCTTCCTGCATCCCCTTGACTGGATAAACTATACTTCCAAGCCAATCTCAGACATGTAAAAATAAATCTGTTTTGAACTGCATCTAGAAGAGTTCTCTTCCATCTGTAACTGAAATGCTGCTTTCTGTATTGCTGCTGTGTCAGAAAGTATCTTTTTAAGAAGTAGTAATATGTGTCTGCTTTGATTTCAGAATGGCTTAGAAGCACATGGACGTTTCAGGATGACCCCTGTAAGAAGTATTATGAAATTCTGCTTGTAAATCCTGTTTATATGGTTCCACCATCAAAGGTATGTGCCAAGCCTGAAGAGACTGCCAAGGCCTAGGTTGGTGTTTGTGTGACAACACTGGTTTTCTGTTTATTTTCTAGGCCTTGGCAGTAACTTTCACCAACTTTGTAACTGAGCCTTTGAAGGACATAGGACAAGGTATTGGTGAATTCATCAAGGCACTTATGAAGGAGATACCATTAATTCTGCAGGTTCCAGTGCTCATTACCATGGCTCTGGGTGTCCTGGTTTGTATACATTCATCTTACATTTAGAAGCTCAGCTTTATTTTTTAAATATTAAATGTGTTTATATGAAAGTATTATCTATTATATTATGTATTTCTCATTTGTAAACTGAACAGATTTCTTAGCACAAAGAAGTGACTTCTGCAAGGGAATTTTTTCTTGACAAAGGCTTCATACTACAGTTGGTCTAGGAATTAAAAGAGCCGAGTTTTGCGTTCAAACTGTATTCCTCTCCCACTCCCCCAGGTGGGATATAGCAGCATTGAACTGCTTCAGGTCTTAGGCTCTGTGACAGTTTATTGCACCTTAGTTCCCATTTCTTCTTTGAGTCATTACATTATGATGTGTGTGGCTGGCATTAACACGAAGGCATTGAGTTAGAGCCTTAATCATTCATGTAGCACTAACAATGAACTGCATCCAGCAGGCAGCTCCTGCAGTATGGTCAGACTGCAGAAAGCTTGAGCCATTCCCTTCACCTGACTTTTTCCTTAAGGGTCTTTCAGATATATGACAAGAAATCTGTGTGAAAACCATAGGCTGCAGATATTTGGTGTTTTGCTCAGTTTTGGTTTTTTCCTCTCCCGCAGACTTTTTGCTATGGTGCAGGATCATCAGTGTCTGCATTAAGATACTTAAGGTCTTCTCAGAAGAAAAGTCTTCCTCTGCCTGCTGGTGGGCAGGAGCCCATAGCCTTTGGGCAGTACGATGGGAGGACAGCAGATGAGTTCTACCTGCAGCAGCAGCCGTATGTGCACAGAGGCCACCAGGACAGAGGGGACGCTGCCACCAGGCCCCTGCCCAGGCTGAGAGCAGGCAATGGCAGCAGGAGCCCGGACACGGCACGCAACAGCGACCAGCTGGATGCACAGCAGGTACCAGAGTCCCACAGGGACCAGAGTCCCACAGAGCACAGCCTGATGTGTCTCCTGGTGCTCTGGGAGCTGGCACTAAGCTGAGCAGATTGCAGTTTAGCCACTGCTAGGACACATTTAAACAACACGCTTAAACCCAGATCTGGGGGAGAGAGGAGCTAAGGAACTACATGTGCCCCTATGGAACAGTTTGATAAAGGTGTCTTGGATGTGTTTCTTCTGGAAAAATATCTTGCAGTGGCTAACTGTGGCAAGAAACTACTGAATTAAAACTCTTTATGGTAAAGACAGCTTCAGTTTTGAGAGATCAGTATGTGTGTGAGCCTGGGCAATCATGATAACCCACAGAAGAAATGTGGAGGAAAAAAAGCAGTGCTGATTTCCCTGTAAACTACAGAAAATTCAAACCAGATTTATACTCTATATTGGGCTTATTTACATGTTCTGTTTCCCGAGGGAAAAAAAATACCAGTCATATTTCGGGTGAGCCCTACCCCTTGAGCTGGGATGCACCTGAAACAATAGATGCTGTCACTTTTGATTGCTTAATTAATAGGTAATTATTGATTTTTTGCAGAACAGGTTGTACACTGAATCTGATATTCATAGACTTGAAACTCTCCAAGCCGAAAACCTTACTGCAGAAGCTGCACTTGAGCAGCAAAAACAGGAGACAAGCAAAGTAGAGGGAGAGACTGGAGAAAACTGTGACCCCAATAAAAACCTAGAACAGAAAAGTTCTGCCACAGAACCGTGCGAAGAGAAGAAAGAGAGCGTTTTACATGACTCCAGGAAAGAGACTAAGGAAGACCCAGACTCTGCTGTAAGTTTTGTCTAATCTTTACTTGTCATGTACTTGCTAATTCTGCTCTCATTCTCAAGTGTAGAAGAGACAAGAACATCAGTAACCTGTTGGGTGGGAATGTAGAATCTGGGAGAGGGTACTCTGTCTGGAGTCTGAAATAAAGGTGTTAAGGTGATACACCTTCAAGTGGCCAGAAAAACCCAGGCTTCTGGAGTGTTGCTGCTTGTTGGAAATCAGGTTTGTGTAATAAGTTTTGAGTAATTGCCTTAATGCTAATTCCCAGCTCAGGTGTCTCAGGTCTGTCTTTGGGTTTATGTTCTTTAAAATCAGTTTGCTTCTTGTCAGCTCAGTTTTAGGGCAGCTGACGGATTTGCTCCTGGTGTAATGATCTGCAGAGAGTGAGCACCTGATGTTGTAGCAGGTGGTTTTTAGGCAGCTCAGAGCTGAACAGGGCCAGGAACAGGAGCTGCCCTGGGGATGCTGTCCAGTGGTTGTTCCCCAGAACTCCCCCAGCCCAGCTCGTCCTTGGCCAGAGTCAGAGAGCAGCTGAGGTCAGGTACAGGAAGCAGCACCTGTGCATTTCTGTGGGTGGCCCTGGAGATGGGGGTGCTGCAGGCACTGCTCCAGGCCATGGCAGTTGGTGCCCAGTGCCCACCACCCCTGTGATTCCCTGGTGCATGGGCACGTATCACACAAGCTGTAGAGCAGCATGAGCAGCTGTTTCTTGAAATAAGCACTTCTTGAAAACTTCTGCTGATTGCAGAACTGTTCTGAATTAATGTGGGAAACAGTTAGCTAAATATTACCAAAAACCATAATGCTTGAAAAAACTATTTTTTATTAAACAGAATTAAAACTACGGTTTAATTTTTTATATAAATTGTTCCTGCAAAGAGACTAAATACTAAAGCAATTTCTTCTCTTTTTAAAATTATTTTTTTAAAAAAGTATAAAAGAAAACAGAACTTTTTTCAGGAAGTACAAATCAGGGGAAAAAAAATCAAATTTTCTTTAAAAAGAACATAAAAATTGAAGTCTTTCATTAGATTGAGACCGTGGTAGAATCCACTAATGAGCAATGAGAGAACTGACAGAAAAAAAAAGTCGTAATCATTTTGATAGACTAGAGGCAACTAAGAGGGGGACACAGTACCAGTACCTCAGACACTGCTCTTGTAATTACTGCTCACCAGTGTGATGCTGCTGCTATTCCTGTGAAACATCAGGAGAAAGGAGACACAGCTACTGCCTGTAGTCATCTTAAAAAAGGCAAGTGTGCTTTTCCAGCAAACCAGAATGATCCCTAGGATGCTGCTGTACATACTGCTGGGGTCTTCAGCTGGGATTGGGTCCCTTTACAGCTGAGGGTAGGTGGACTCTCTGCTCATCCATTCTCTTGGCTTGTGAGCGCAAAATCAGGCTGAAAAAATCCTCATCTGGTACAGTGGGGCCTTTGGCAGCTCCTGGAGGAGCACATCTCTGATCATCCAGTCTGGAGCCCTAGAGACAGACCAAGCAAGACAAGCTGCATATTTACAGGAAGATGTGGAGTAAGTTAACAAAAGTGAAAAAACTACTACAGCCTTTTGCTGGCAGATTTAAAGCTAGTAGAGAGATTTAATTTACAAGTTTTGTTTCAAGTTAAACTTGCTAAATGAAATTATTGAGTCCAAGTGTAACTGAAATGGTTCCTCTGACCCACTTGTCCCATGTGTCTGAAAGTGACACACACCACCCCACCACCCCCCCAGTTCAGTTCTTTGACATACTGCAAAATGAGATCTAACTGTCCCTAGTTCAGAAGGAGATTTTTTAGCATTAGTACAGGGTGTTTCTGGTCTCATACACCAGGAAGTATGGTTGTCTTCCTTTCCTTACACAGGGACTAAAAAATGGCTGCAGTGCTGTGAGAATTGGGAGGGTACTGCTTGAAGGCCCCTTGGCTCCACTCTGTGCAGCTGGGTACAGTTTAGTGCCAAGCTTCCAGAGCAGGTGGCAAAGGCTGCTGGGCTGGGCTCTGCTCCCAGGCTGTAGAGTGGTGTTCCCACAGGAACAGGGAACAGGCTGCTGCTGGAGGGCAGTGTGGCCACAGGAGGAAAAGCACAGCTCTCAGTGGTGGCTGGACCTGGGACAGGCACCCTTCAGACAAAAAGGCTCAAAGGCAGCAACCCCTCTGTGCTTGTTTAAAGCAGTCCATACTGATCAGAGTAAATTAGATATTTTTCCAGTCCTAAAAGAAAATATTTCCAGATTCTTTGCTTGACTCACAGAAGGAAACAGACAAGCTTCTATAACAGAACATGGTTATGTCAGCAGGCTGATGAGCACTGTCATGTAGACTCAATTCCAGGTGCTGCTTTCTCAGCCAGGCTACCATACTTACTGGCCTTTGGAGAACTCAGTGTCTGAATTTTGTATTTTTGGCTGCTTGTCAACCAATCAGACAAACCAGCAAGTCTTTTTAATTCGTTTTAGTCTAATTGGTATATGCACATGCTCTAATTGAAAATCAGTCACCTCACTTGTATATTACTATAAACTAAACTTAATCTTGCAGAAATGATGACCACTCTTACCACCAAAACCTAGATACTGAATTCTTTCTGGTGTATCAGGTGCCCTCCTTAGCAAGCCAGGTCTAAACACTTAAGACCATTTTACATACTCCTTGCAATAGCCTCACTTGTTTTTCTTCACTTTTTAAGCGTTTCTTACTTTTAATAGTTACTGTGGTACAAATACCAAAATTATACTTACTAGACACTGGATAATTAAAAAAACCCCAACCCTCATCTTCTGTTCTCTTATGTTCCTCCTTATCTGTCAGATCAATACGTATCTTAAAACACAGTGGCTTCCTTACAGAACGCAGCAGAGGAGGCCCACATGCAGTCCCCAGAGCAGAAGCTGAGGAGGTTGTTACGCCCTTACCTGGCATTTGATCAATATGTCAAAGAAGTCGTCATCCAGGTCGCCGTTGGTGCTGGCCCCGAGCTGGCTCAGCAGGGCACGGCTGTGGCGCTGGCTCTGCCTCAGGCCGGGCAGCTGGCTCTGGCTCTGGCTCTGCCTCAGGCCGGGCAGCTGGCTCTGGCTCTGGCTCTGGCTCTGCCTCAGGCCGGGCAGCTGGCTCTGGCTCTGGCTCTGGCTCTGCCTCAGGCCGGGCAGCTGGCTCAGGCTGGCGCGCTGCTCGTCCAGGCGCCGGCTCTGCGAGCTCGCCAGCAGCTCCAGGAACTCGTCCGTGTGCGGGGACACCGCCGACGTGGAAAAGGCTGCCCGGGACACACAGAGTAATAATTAGAGTTAGCCTAGGAGTAAATCCAATGCTGTACTGAGTCTTGTCTGCAAGTACATTTTGAAAATGGTATTTGGCAAAAACGCGAGTCAAATATGGATTTTGCTTTTAAAAAATTACATTTTATCATCGTTTTAGGTGGCGTAGAGGATGTTGCCACTGAAGGAGCTGGGAGTCTGTTCTTCTCCTGGAAGCAGCACCTCTGATCATCCATCCTGTTACTCTGGAACCGACTCAGCAGATCAAAGAACCCTTCATCTGCCATGGTCTCACGGCTGCTTTTCTGAAAAGGAGAAAATTTGGGGTATTTGACCTTAGAGTGCCTACAGCTGGGACAACTGCATCAGAATTTCAGTCCAGTGATATGGTTGATATTTACATATCTGAAATTTATTAAATAAATTTTTTTTTAGTCAACCATTTCTATAGCCAGAGATCTAATGCTAGGGCAGCATTTTGGAGAGTGAAACATATTAGAAATGTCTCATTCTCTGAAATGGAAAGAAACTGTGCTCTGATCATGGTAAAATGGGAGTTATTCCTCCTCAGCCATTAATCCAACAAAACCCCAAATGCCCATGAGAAGAAAAAGAAACAAGAGCAGCAATGAACAGTTGCCATTGTCTCCTCAGGTCTATGACCTAATGCCTCCGTTCCTTTATTTTGAACGGACTTCTCTCAAGACTGTAATAACCTAAAAAGTATGTCTGAAATATCTCCCACTGCCTGAATCAGGAAAATAGATTTTGCTAAGTTTGGAGAAGTAGGGTCTAGAAGAGACTTAGACCTCAGCTTGCAAATAAATTTCATTTCTAACTTCAAAAAAACCACCACAAGTAAAATGTTTCAGTAGTAGGAAACTCTTAAAGCTGGCACCACCCCGAGAGAGCTGTAGAATGACAGATTCTGCATCAGGTTAGAGCCACAGTGTTTAAATCAAGTTAAACTGAACAGGACAGCTGGAGGAAGGTGTTTTCCACAATTCTGATCACACAAAGATGAGTAAAGGCCCTGGGCTCACCACACCTACCCTCTGAGAGTTTGGAAGTCGATGATCAATGGAATTACTGGCATCCTGCAAAACTTTGGAGGTGGTGCCGTTTTTGTACTTTTTGCCTTTTAGTCGATTTACAAAATGAAGTTTTGCTGAAGTTTTGGCAACCAGTGGTTTCTGTTTAACAAGAATCTCACTGTTCCAGTTTGGAACCTAAGAAAACAAGAGTCAGGAAATTAAGCCTTCTGATTTTACTTACCAGTACTGTTACCTCTTACTTGCTGCTGCTTTTCCTCCCCAAAATGAGGCAGCTTTACACTGTTTTGTTCTTGCAGCCACAAGGATGTACCCAAAGAGGCTCTTGAGTGCCAGTGCTGACTTCAGCTGTACTGACTACACATGCTTTGAGATTTTATTGATTAACATAACAGGCTTTGCCTCACCTGAAGAGACTGCAATTAGATATCCCAGTGTGGAGGGAAAAATAGCAATTTCAGTCTGCCACTGGAATCATTTATGCAGAACTGCCAGCCCAGTACTGAAAGGCAGAATGTAAAAGAAATCCCTCATAGGCTGATACAAGGATTTTAATCGGGAGCTCCCACTGCCAAAAGATTTCTGAGCCTGGGGGAGGGGAGAAGTTGTTTTGCCTGTGACTCAGCTGTAACATTTCTGAAATAGCATCCTTACTCAAGATTTACTCAAGATGGAGGTTGAAGCTTCTGATGGTTTGCAAGTTGGTTGAAATCTCAAAGTGAAAAATGGAGCATGTATTTTAAGTCCCTATAAAATGACTGTAACCAAAGAAAAAGTGTTCAGAAGAGCTAAGCTAAAGCTCAGGAATTTAATTCTGAATAACTTTCATGCTGCAACCTCAACCCATCTCTATAAAGAGATGAAAATCCTTTGATGCTCATTACAGAACCCCATTCTTTCTCACTCATGCAGGGAATAAAGCAGGCTTCCCACAAGCCACTACAGCCATCACCTGTCACGTGCTGTTACCTACATGACAGAAGTGTTCTTTGTTAGTATTGTTAGACCTGGTGTTATGGAGCTCCTGTAATCAACTAAATTAAAAAGGGAGGCAAGTGGCACATCAGCACACCCTCAGAATGTTTCACTGCAGTATCAGCAGCAGAACAGAAAGAAGCAAAGTGCCAACCTTTTCTGGTGTTAATTTCATAAGTTCCATGTTCTCCATACTGTAACGGCGTCCTCTTGGTCTGCCACCTTCAAGAGACAAATTCATCTTTTATTATTAAAATTTATGGTGTCACTTGACAAGCTGTGGCTGTACTCATCTAAGGTCCAAGACACAGACACAATTAGAACACACAAAGAAACTAAGCAGTACCCTGTGATTCACAATATAAATCCTCCAGAAAAGGAGGTGCTGAAGGGATCCAGTACCCCAAGAACCTTTTTTAGCTGCTGGGGAGAAAACCAAGCAAACTTCCATACTCAACCCCAACTCAGTAAAGAACTTTAATGAGATTCTTTTTTAAGTTCTCTGTTGGGAAACTACTTCAGAAAGAGGCACATACCATTCAAACTGTTTTCCACTGCGTGGCTTTCTGCCATCATGGAGTTGTTTGTGCTGTAGCTTAATCCAAGAACCATTTGAAGATCTGAGAGATTCAGTCTGGCAGTGAGTTCTCCACTTCTGTCTCCTACCTTCAAGCAAATAAAATAAGCAGTTGTATTACCTTAACAAATACTCACGTGTGTAACTGTAAAGCAATCCTTGTCCCATGACTTTGGAGAGAAAAAGGCTGAAAAGGTTTTCCCGTTTGAAGACTGAGAACATCTTTTTAAAGAAGTAACAACTAGCAGGTAACATAAAAAAGCCTAAAATAATTTCTGCTTGGCCACTAACTTGGGAGTCCATGACGCCTTTGTGAGTGGTGACACTAGGACTAAAGAGCTGACTGGCTGAAATAACCTGGAATCAGCTGTCTCTAGAGTGATTGAAAATGCTCAAAATCAGATGCACAAACACACCTCCATAAAACCTCTGTGAGTGAGAGCAAAAACCAACGGCCAGCACAGTGGGAGTATGAAAATCATACCTCTCTTGAAATCTCCAGGTGCCTTTCTGCGAAATGGATGGCTTGGTCATGATTTCCCAGAGCAGTATAAGCATTCCCTAAACTCCAGCATGCTCTTCCTTCCCCAATTCTGAAAACAACACACATTTGCAATTACACCTCTACCTGCTGAACACCAGAGGTCAGGTTTTCACAGTACTGCCAAAGTAATTTGCTGGGCTAAAAAAATGGAGGCAATCATCAGAGACCATGCTACCACCAACATATTAAATATTGTATTTAAGGAGTGTGATCTGGTTATAAATAAATATCAACAAATTTAATTTTTTTTAAATTTTTAAGCTCACAGCAAACAAGTTAGTTTTGTAAGCATGGGACATTGTATAACCTACTTTGCTTCTCCTCAGTTTGCATGACACATTAGTCCTCTGTATTCTTATTGACTTAAGAACAGGTACATTTAAATGTTGCAAAAATTATGGTTGCACCTGACACTATAAAAAAGGCCTCAGAAATCAGCAGTGTAATATAAACATGACTTGCTGCAGTGTTATTCTCCTTCCCCCATCCCTTCCTGTATTATTAACTTGTGGACAAGTAGAACGCAGATTCTTATGAAAGTAGGATGAATTAGTATAATGAACTCATGAAAGAAAGATCTGCTTTTCCTTAATTTACACAGACTTGCTGACAGGAGATGATGTAGAAAGAGTCATTCAATCAATTTGTCTTTCATCTCAGACTCATTAGCTGCAATACCATTATGAGTAATTTGCATTTTCCATATGAAAACCAAAGCCCAGCATTGGGGGAATTCACATGAATTGCTGTCACATGGGGAACAATGGCAGTGGAGTTGAAGGTAACAGGATTTGCTCTGAGTGTCCCACATACATGAAACAATCTCTTAGGGCTTACTTGTCATGTAGCTCCTGAGCAATCACAAGGTGTTTGAGATGATAGTCAATGGCTCTCTCATAGTCCTGGAGCAGAGTGTAGGTGTTCCCCAGGCTGTAGCAGGCCTGTGCTTCCACAGCTCTGTCCTTCAACTGCCGAGCCAGCTGCAGTGTCCTCCTGCAGGACAGGGTCAGAAACCACCACAAGGAAAAGCTTTCAGAAGTGCACGTGCACAGCTGAAAATCTGTTACACAACTTCAACAAACTGGGGCAGCAGGCTAGCAAATTATCGGCTCATAAATTACTATCTTGTAAACCCTTACAATCTCACACTTGTAAAGTCTCCCTCCACTGCAACCTACTTCATTAGAGAGCATGTATTTTAAGTCTTTTAATTTAAGCATCTTTTAATTTACTGCTTCATTAATAATTTGTAGGAGTTTCCCTGACAGGTTGCACTGTTCAATAGCAGTGTTACAATACCTACTTTCCCATCAGCATGGGCAGGACAGGCCTATACTCACCAAGCTCAGAGGGATCTGCTCAGTACTGAGGCTTTTCTTCCTAAGAGCTGCTGTGCTCTGAAATCCCTAATAGCACCTATACTGTATCTTTGCCAAGCTTTTACTTTCCCAGGTACAGCAGCAACTGCTCAGTGGTGCAGAGATCAAGACAAGTCTGGCTTGAAAATACAGACTAAAGATGTAAATTGATGTTGCTGTGCACTAGCTCTCTCAGCTGGTGAACACACCTGAGGCAGCCACCCATCTCAGGGTAGGAAAGCTACTCACATCATTCCAGAACTCACTAAGAGTGAGATGGTAATGCCTGCTTCTAGAATAATGGGAATAAATGCCTAGCAGTGAAAGATGTCTGTGTACAGCACTGCAAAGTAACTATTTAAAGTAGCAAAAAAGTTTAAAAAAAAGTGTTAATGCTGCCCCTCCCTTCAGAGAACCATAACAATTAAACAACAAAGGAAAAATTTCTTTGCTAAACAAATGGAAATTTTTCTAAAGTATATGTTGAAGCAATGGCTGTTCCACAGTGAGCTACGGTACCAGACACGACAGAAGTAAACTGTACAAGAGATATAAATTGTGTTTATCAGCAGTCACTCACCTGTAGTACTCAGCAGCAGTTTCAAATTCCCCCAGGAATATGTAGGCATTTCCAAGGTTGCTGTATGCTCTTCTTTCTGCTGATCTATCACCAAATTCTTTTGCAATGAGGAGACGCTTAAAAATGTGAAATAACTGCATTAGTTACTCCCCTTTATACTTTGTTACATACATGTGCATGCAGAAATGCAAGAAAAAAATGCATTCTTTAAGTCAACAATGCTTGATAAGAACAGCCAAACTTGAAGTTTGTGCCATTAAGATTTAAAACCTGCATTAAAAAGCTTGCAACAAGATCCAACACACAACACATGTACTAAAGATCAGGAGCAATGTGATATTCTGCTAGAACAGAATTCATTACTACCACATTGTTGTACCTGTTCATGGGCTAAAACTGCACTCCTGAAGTTGCCCAGAAGATAGTGTGTGTTTCCCAGATTTCCATAGGCACGTCCTTGTGCTGCTCTGTCACCCAGCTCTTTTACTATTGACAGGTTTTCCCTGTTTTGGGGGAGAGTGAGAATGAGAATAGTGACTTTTAAAAGGTTTGGGTTTTTTCTCATAGTCATTTAAATACTAATTTTAATTTCTTATATAAAGGAAAAGGCAGAGATATTCTACTTAGGCCTATTTTAATGGCCTTTAAATAACCATGAATCTGAGTAAGAAATACTTTCTGTGAGCTACCAAACTCCAGTGCATTCTAACTCAAGCCAGTGTGCTCCCCTCTAGTTACACACACAGGTGTAACAAGGTCCTGTTGTCTCAGCCTGGTTTGAAGAGCTTTGCTGTTTCTAACTAAAGGTTGTCAGGTACAGTACAAGTGAGGCCAGGGTAAAAACCAGGGCACTGTCTTGTTGAAAAGACCAAAGTGACAGGTACCTCAGTTCTGCAGAGAAGCCTTCCATAGTTCAGCTCATGGCACTGCAGATCTCCCACATTCTAATGAAATACACGATCACATCCTCCCAGCCCCCAACACTTAAATCTCCTACTTACTCATAATACTTTGCAGCTTTCTGTAAAGCATTTTTCACATCATCTGGAAGTTCCCCTGGATCATGGGTTCCAGCATTAGCTACATTTTTCCCTTTGGAGTGATATACATTTCCCAGATTATACAGTGCTCTTGCTTCTCCAACCTGAACCAGAAGTAGAAGAAGGCATTAAAATTTCATGCTTCAAAGTTTTCTGTCACAACAACTATTTGTACAATCCACAAATGGGAAGAAAGTTCCTTAACTACCTGTCAAATCCCACTCTGCCCATTCTGAACATATTATCACCTACCCAGTCATAGCCCTCAATCCAATTGTTTTGCATGCCACTTCTTTTTGAAGAACAAGATACATTCTAGAGGTCAATTACCATTAAAACTTACATTTAAAACAAACAAAACAAGGTAATAAAACAGGGTAATATTTAACCTGGACCTATAGTCTTCCAGGTACAAACAACTGCATTCCAACTAATAGATTTGTACTGCCTAGAAGAAATAATTGAATATTCACTATTTCCCTCTGAAAAGTGCACATTCCTTACCAGTACCACAGGGTTCAGGGGAATGTGTGTTAGCACTTTACATCCAAATTCCTGCACAATTCTTACCTTATCATTAAGTTCTCTGGAAATATCCAGATGTCTCTGACAGCAAACAATAGCTTCTTCAAAATTCCCAAGTACCTTTAAGGTGTTGCCCAGGTTCCCACTGGCTTTAGCTTCTCCCAGTTGATCTCCAATTGTCCTAAAATAGCAGCAATTAAGTACCCAGAAAACAGTGGATCATTTAAACCAATGTTTGGTAGAGAATTACATGAATTTATGAAAGTGACCACAAGTATGTAAATGTAAATGTGTGCAATTCATTTTATATCTGAAATGCACTCAAACATTGTTCAGTCTGTGGTTACAGACACTGCTGTTTGGCCAGCTGCTGGTATTGATCATCTGCTTAACATTTATCTTTTAAATTCACATCTTTTAAGAAGAAAATAGAGAGAAAATTCTTAAAGATGATTTAGAAAGACAGTCCCAGCATTAAAAAGAGAGGTTTAACTGCATTTGTGTTTTACTTGACCATCTTATTTTAAGTAAAAATCTCCTTTAACTTAACAAGACACTTAACTGTAAGGTTTAAGACTTACAGTCTCCTCTGTAGCTTGAGGCACTACTTCATTTCTACATTTTAAATGAGACTAAGGCAAGAGACTGCCACTGAACCACTCAGACTGTCATACCTGGGCAACAACACAACAAAACAAATGCCCCAAGATCACAGCACAGGAGCAGGGTAAGGCAGGGGGAAGAATAGATTTATGCCAAATTGACATTAAGTACATTATATGCCTGTGCCTTTTATTGGATCTATACAAATCAGTAAAAGCCAGATACATAAATAGCATATGAAAGGGATGGAGTTTTAGATTTCACAGATAAACATTAGGGAGTTCTGTCTAGTAAACAAGAGAGCAGCTCAACAATACAGAGTACTAGAAGCACTGAGTTTTAGAAACATGAAAGGGTAAAGAAAGGGTGGATTTAAAGCAGCCATTTAATTATCCAGAAACCTGGTGAGGCCTCAGTCACTTCCAGGATTATAGTGCTAGACCAAGTATTAGCTGCCAGGTTAGAGGGCACCCAAGTGACCTGCCAGGCCCCCAGCCCTGTGCCACACCACGTTCACTCTTTAGCCAGTATTAAGGCAGGGTTTGGCAGGACAGTGAGCAGGCAGCTGCTCGTGTCTCCCAGAATGGGATGGCATGGAGAACAGTTACCTTGCAAGAGTTAAATCGTGGTGATGATATTCCAAGGCCTTTGCATATTCCTGCAGGTAGAAATAGGCATTGCCCAGCTGGCTGTAAATAGCACTCAGGGTTCGTAAATCTTCAGTTCCAACCTGCACAGCAGCTTCAAAGAAAGACACGCCAGCCCGGCAATCTCCTGCCTTGCACAGGCGCTCGCCCTCCAGAGCCAGCTCCAGGCAGGAAGCCTCCATCCTGCACAGGGACAAAACAGGCCAACAGTCACTCCTAAAGGCACCCTCTGTGCAGCACCTGAGCTCTGGACACGGCATTCTTTTATCAGATGGCCTCTGTTTGTTTAGGAGAGGGAATCAGCAGCACACCACAACCAATGAGCTTTGCTTTAGAGTACTACAGAAACCAAGGCTGAAATGGAAATTACAATTTCGATGGTGAGGAGCAAAATAACGTTTGAACAAACAGCTACAATTCCTTATTTTTCCAGTCTCAGAGAGGAAACCAAACATTGCTTTTGTCCATAGGCAGCACTCAAAGGGTTCAAAAACAGTTTTCACCATCTAGATAATTTCAGAAAAGTTACCTAGAAATCGAGCTATTACTGACAAATACTGATTCTGACAAATGGAAGCACTTCAGATTTTTAGGGTGATGCAACAGTAACCTGCAAAATGATTCACAGGAAAAAAATCAAATTAGAATATTCTGTGCTGTGTATCAAAGACTGACTAATTTTCTGCAAGTTGTTTGCTCTGTAATCCGATACTCCTTGGCACTTAATTTCTTATACTAGCACTGCTGTGGAAATTCTCAGTGTAAGAAAAAATATCTAGATTCAATTAATGACAAAATGTATGTCAATTCAAGTTACTTCACTCATACACCATTATTCCAGAACCCACTGGAATAATTTAATTTTATGAACAAGTAATTGTGCAATTATACAGGTACAAAATGCAGCAATCATTAATGAATTTGTAGAATAATACATTTTGAACATGAACAAAGACACTGATAGAAAACTACAGTGGCATTCACGTGCCTCTTTGCCCCAGTGAGCTCAGAAGTACAAAACACAACGTTTCAGTAAGTGTTAACAATTTTATCCAAACATTTCCTACGTTCTGGTTCTGAGATGCAAGGGAGGCAGGGGAGAGGAAGATGAGAAAGACAACAGCTCCAGGTCCCAGTCTTGAAGCAGTATGGTTCTCCAGCTTTTCCAGGATACATGCATTTTAAAAAGCTTGCAAAAATGTCAGCATTTTATTTTTTTAAAGATTTTTTCAAAATGAAAACCCAGTAAGAGACATTCTGTAATAGTTGAAAAAGTACATGCTAATGTTGCCAAAGAGTGGACAATCAAATGCTGGCTTTTGCAGAAGTTATTTTAGTGGAAACACCAGATGAAACATTTTTTGACTTGACATAGTGATGAAGTTTTTAACATACCTACAATACATTTCTTTATTTTCTTAAACTAGAAAAAAAAATTGATTATACAAACTTTTACTCAAATCTGAACAGGAAGGAAATATTTTTGAAAAATCTAATGACTTCCAAAAGAGCTAGAAGAGTTGGGATCACAAGCACAATACAAAACACAAAGAATTACCATACCTGCTGGTCTTGGAGGTGCCACAACTTAAGCACAGCGAGATGACCGACATGGTTACCTTTTGCAACAAAAAGCACTCTCTGTTTGGTAATTGCTAGAGATGCTGACAGCAAAAGATAACTCCAGCATGAAGCTCTTGCCAAGCCCAACTTTCCAGGCTGGATATCCATAACACATGCAGGATTTTTAGGTTTGCAAACTCTCCTCAGAGAAGTTAGAGCATTCCTGTTAGCTACAACACACCACCTGGCTCTCATGACATTGTGCATGTGTGGAATGTAAGACAGAAGAAGGCAGAAATGATTAAGTACAATTAAGTACAAGGCAGAAATGATGACACCATCAGCAACTGAAGGTTTAAGACTTAAAACACTTCATTGGGTAATCTTAATCCTATCCAAAGAGGTTCTCTCCGGGCACCTCATGTTAACTGACATGTCCAATTAGAGTGACAGCTGGAAAATGTGTGCTTCTCAGTGCAGACTGGGACCATTACACAGCCACACTCTTTGGATTTTTGCTTGAATGGCCAAAAAGAGCAGACCTTCTAGCAAAATGTGTGTGTGACATAAGAATGAAATTGCTACACTGGACTCTGCTTCTGGAAGTGAGTTTATTCTATTTAAAAAAAAAATTACTGTGAGACATCGGCCACATAATCAGTGAAGAAAAAGCAGGTAAAAATCTTCAAGGGCAATATCAGACAGTGCTGCAGTATGGAAGCCCCCCTTGAGAGAGAGACTGCATTCATCTGATTTCACACTACACCTAAAAATGCCAAATGCCAACACAGCATTACCGTTTCATCAGGGAATTTGAAATACAATCATTTGACTTTACAACTCTAGATTTAGTGTAACTTATAAAAATGAGAGATGTGGGATCTTTCATACAGAACACAACTAAGAAGCAAATGGCTTAGACTGATGAAAATCAGCTGTTACTACAGTGTTTAAATTCAACCAGAATTACAGGAAGTAAATGAAAATGAGAATTAATAATTGCTTGAGTAAAAAAAGAATGCAAAAATTACACAACTCTTGAGAGGCTGTGTTAACAAGTTGTTAGAATCTGTACAGCAAATTAAAACTTTAATTCCATCTGGATCCATTCCTTCTGACCTACCATTTCAAAATCTAAATAAGCTATACAGAAATAGAACAGAGACAATTAAATATTTATTTCCACAGTTGCCTGCACTTAATATTTTATTCAGGTTATATAAGAGCTATGAAATCACTCAGTTATTTTAAAAGTTTCTGAGGCTTTTCCATTGAGTACCAAAACTGGATTCAAAAGAGGTTTGGTTTTGGTTTGTATTTGTTTTTTTCTCCCCTCTGCTACTTAAAGGACTCTTATGCAAATTAACACTTTTTTTTTGGTTTGGTGGGTTTCTTTAGGATTTACGTAGGTGTTCTCCACCTGTCACTGCTAATGGTTAAACAGCACTTTGGCAGACTAGACAGGGCCAGGTTATCAATGTTTTAGGAAGTCATTAAATAGTTATAAGGAGAATATGACATTACTTTCTCTGTTTCCTGGGCTGAATGGAATTATTTACTCAACACCCAGTGGCCAAACAAGAGATACATTGAATCTGCAGAGAGGAGAAGAGAACAAGCCCCATTCATCTGTGCACTCCTAAGGCAATTCTGTTCCGCTGAACACGACAGGGTTCTCTCAGATATTACTTGAAAATGCTCACACAGGGCTCCATTTTGCTGTGCTGTCTATAGCTGCCTGGCATCTCCTGAATAATTTCTCATTTGTAAAACTACCTCATCCTTATCTGGCCCTCAAAGCTTTTCCTCCTGCCTGGCTCCCCAGTATTTTTATTTTTCTTCTTCCCACCCCCGCCTCCTTCTTCTCTGACCTTTTTCATGTTCTATTTTAAACCTTTATTATTTCTATGAATATAAACCCTAAGCATATTGTTTTTGTCTCCCTCCCTTCAGCTGTTCTCATCTCACAATAAGAACAAGAAAAGTGGCAAGAATTAAGTCAGTGGAAGAAGGTAGTAACACTCCCTGATTACTACAATCTTTAAACACAATTTAGTTTTATTCAGTTCAATTCCCACTAAGAGGGCTTTTTGCTTTTGAGGGGGAACACAGCTGTCATCACTTTGCCATGAAACATGTTGGTACAAATAACACACCTAGAGACAAAACATCCCCATGCCATGTCTTTAGTTTGGATGCAGCACCACTGTGCCACAGCATCCTGTAATGAAGCTGACTGTAATAAAGCACCCCGTAATAAAGCTGACACACCATTCCTGACCACTGCCCTTACTCTGGGCTTCCCCCCACGAGCAGAAGCCTCGACAGCCACCACTGCAAACAGCTCCAGTACAGCCCCACTGCAGCACTGCTTCTTCAAACTTAGAAACAAACAGCTCACACACAGAGAAACCACACCCTGAATTCTGTCTTCTTTTGCTCCAGTCAAGATAAAAGCACTTACAAGGTTTTGGTGCATGAATTTAGCAGGCCAAAAGAAACAAGTTCTACAAATATTCACCCATTTATTCATACAAATCAAGTAACATTAGCATTTTATTTTCAGTCACTAAAAAAAACAAAAAGAACCCTCCTTCCGTCAGCATAAGCACTTTTATAACTGCAAAAGTGATACTGGTGAACTACTGTGGGGAGAAAGAAATGCTTGCACAGTCAGAAACAGACCCACAGTAAAGCCTTTCCTTAGGAGTGGGCTCCAACTTCTTTAAAATGAGTTCTAATGGAATGCCAGAAGGAAGGAAAGAGCAGTCACAGCCAAACAAGCCTGGGATAATAAATGCAAGTAATTTTTTTTAAAAACTGGTAACTCCCTCCCCAGTAATTTATGACCTTTTATTTCCTGCACTAAATTTTAAACTCCAACAAAATAAAATATTTCCAAATTACAGCTATCAATATCATCATAAAGTTCCAGGTCAATATACTGAATTAATTCTTAATTTCTCAAAGTCTTAGGAAAGTTTAATATGTTTTTAAATTAAAAGTATTTTGCCATCGTGTTTTTTAAATGTGAATCAGATTATAGTTCTTGCAGAAAAGTTTAAGAAGGTCATGAATATTGTTATTGTTGATATTTTTAATTGGTCTCATTCAAACCTGTACTGAAATACAGCATAAAGCAGTAAGACATTGTGCCCTGACTGTGCTTGCCAAATTTTTTGAAGTTTTTTTTATCTTGTCAGTTTATACCAGTCAATTGGCCCTGACCTATTTTTCATCCATTTATTTCTATAACAGCACCCTGAACAGCTCCTGCTTTTATTAAAGAGTGAGCAAGGATATTCTGCAATTGTCTGGGGAGGACCAAGAGCACCAGCACCAGCGTGGGGAAATGTGGTAGAGGAATGCTGGGCAGGGGTCCCTTCAGGAAACACTCAGCACAGGGTTATCATGCTTACACACTGAGGGCCAAAGCCACAGGATAGAGATTTTAGCCAAATGAAGAGAGAAAATAGTAAATTACAGCTTATTTGCTCATTTTTCTCCTTACTGACCATGAGAGAGCTTCTCCAGCTGGCTGCACTGCCACCCAGGACACTGGACTTGTATGAAATGAAATTAAGCACTTCTTTTCTATGAAATGGAAGAGAAGACCACTCCAAGAGCCATCTAACATTGTCAGAATGTTGAAAGGATTAATTTTATGCCACAGCATGTGCTGTCTTACAAATACAGGTTAACAGCCTTATTGCTGTTAGCTAGTCAGGAAAAGGCCTCCAAAGAAAGGATGATCAGGGTAGGGGTGGGGGGAGCACACAAGAACCACATTTTTTATTTCTTTTTAAACAATCATTTCAGTCTTCCAGCGTTCCTTTCTACTGAATGAACTGCAAGATTCACCCTTCCAAACACCATGCACTACACAATGCTCCTGTAGTTCAGCTCCATTAGAGCGAGTCTGAAATGCTAACACGTTGTCCCAGGTCTGTAAAGGGGATTCAGAAGAAAAATTAGAAAAGCTCTCAGAAGGGAAATCCCATATCCTCTTCACTTGCAAGAACAGTACTTCTGAGTGCAAGGCACCAAGGCAGTTTCCATCTATCAACCAAACCTCTTTATTTTAAGCAAGGAAAACACCTCCTCCTTCACCAGAATAATGGGCCAAGTACAGAGAACTTTAGCAGACAAAAGTCAGCAATTTGCACAGGCAGCCTAAAAGCTAAAAGAGGGAGCAGCTATTACCCTACAGGCACCACACTTCATATCATTCTACCCCAAGTACAAAGAAATACATGCAATAATGTACTATACTGTTACCATGCAAGTTCCAGTACTATACAAGAATTTATTCAATCTGCTAATAATCTGCTACATAGCAAAAGTGAATTTTCATTGTTAAAAAATCAAGAAAAAAATGGGTTTAATTTTAAATTTCAGTAACACTACTAGCAGAGATATCAAGCTATTTGTTACAACTTGTTTAGCTTTCTATTATTAACAGCACTTATTAATTTATAGCAAAATTACCAGTCTTACCTGTATCGCACGTGAAAGGAGCGATCTTCAGGCATGCTTATCAAAACATCCTTTTCCGCCATTGAGTTACATTATCAGCAGAGAAAGAAATACTGTTCTCTAGTAGGGTAAGTGCTTTATTATGGGGAATTGTTGTCAGAGCACCATTCCAGTTAGGATATTAAGAAGCTGAAGTAAAGATATCCTAAGCTACTGTAGAAAAACTCTTCTTTATTACTGAGGTAAGGAGGTCACTGCCAGCCACATCTCACACCTTCAGAAATGTTCATGTTCTTTCTTTCATCTGTGGCCCTTTAAGCTCCATTCAGGCACGGTTCTGCAAAGGGAACACAAGATGCTTGGCTTGAAGTCTCATGGTTAATAACTCATCAGCATTTGCAGCTGATGTAAAAGCATAACACTGCTCCTACGAAGCAGGAAACGTCATTCAAGAACTGAAAGGCAGAGCCAAAGCCTTCTACACAGACATGGCAATTCCTGTAGGCAAGTGAGAAAGCCAAAGAGGTTTAACAAAAACCAACACTCTCTCTTCTCTTGGACACTTTGAAGAATTTACCCTTCTTAGGATTTTCTGGCCTCATGAAGTTCCAGGCAAAAACCTTAAAGGATGAAAAGTACAGAATGAAAGGCATAATAGAGAACAGATCACAAAGTGCTTTACACGTAAACACTGCCCCCAAAAACCTGACCAACCACCAGCTGAAGGCACACAGCAGTCAGAACTGGTGGGCACAACCCCATCTGCAGATCATCCACTCTGCAGATTGTCCCACCTGCAACACTGTAAGCACAGCAGCCAGCAAAGGTTAAACCTCTATATTTACTTTTCTTCCCTCTGGTCCCAAAAGAAAAGGGGGGAGTACAGGAGTTTGGAGGGCAAGTGGTGTTCACACTGGCTTCCTATTCAAAGATTCTGCAGCACGCAATGTGAGCTCCAAACTCTGCTTCAAAGAGATTGCAGAAGCCAGCATATAAATACTGGACATGTTTGGGCTGGCTGGGAAAGATTAACAGAAAAGAAACCCTGTAATCAAAAGTTTACCCACTTTTAAACATATTTTTAGTAGAGACGGTGACATATTTACACCTCAGTACTAATATTACCTTCCTTTGCAAGTAAACATAGAGTTGTGTAATTCACAAATGCATATTTCATCAAGAGACTGCAGAGGTGTCAAAAAGACAGGAACAGAGCTCAGACTCAAAGCTGTCATCAGAAGAATATGCAAATCTGTATATTTAATTGTCGACATAGCCCTTACCTTTTCCTCTCATTGGCTTTATCGAGTCCCAGCTGTGAAGATTCATGCTTCCCATCCTCCTCTACCTTGATAGCAGCCCTCAGACTATCCACATTCTTCCAATTAAACAAGTATTTTGCCCTTCCATGCTCATCACTGGAATTATTTGGCATCAACAAGAGGGTGTGGGTGTATTTTTGCAATTATGAAGCGTGACACCCAGAGGTTACAATAGCACTGCAGCCCACACACTGGGCAGGCTGTGTTCCAGGTGTTCACTCTGCAGAAGTCTGTCCAGCCTCAGCTCAGGTAACTCATACAGGCAGATGGCCCTAAGCCACCCAGGCTATAGCAGCCCTCCTGCTGCTCAGCAAATCCAAGGGGTTTGGAAGTTCCCTTCCACAGAGGAACAAAAGTGTGTACTCTGGTACACACAGATCATGAGATGATGACCGTAGTAATTTTTTTGTGTATTTTTACTGTAATGGTAATTAACTGAGTAATTTAAAAAGCTTTTTTTAAAAATAAAAAGTCAACTTTAATTTAAAAAACCAGTTATACTTAAAAATACATCAGAACATCTGTGTTTATTTAAATATCAGTTATTTTTAGCTGTACATTTTACATCAGGTGTTTATAGCTTCACTGTATTTGAGCTACACATCTGTCCTCATCATCTGACTGATGCCACCAAGAGCTGGAACCACTACTCCTGTTTATTTCCCTCCTTAATGGCCATACAGCACATTCCTGGTCTTGGGAGGGTGATACAGACACACCCACATTGGCCAACACATCATCATCACAGATCCAACCCAAATTACTGGGCCTGCTCTCCATACCTGGCTTCTTCACCTGTAAGTCATTAGGATGTCAATTACACCTTCAGCCATGCCAGCCTGTAATCAGTAACCAAACCTAAATCACATTAATTAGAGTGGGGAATGCAAAAGGCAGGAGATGGAAGGCAAACACTTGAAGCTGTACACACAACCTTTAAATGCACAATTGACTTAATACAGGAAGTCCTAAGGGTTTCTGTTATTTTGAAGTAGCAGCAAAAAGCCCACAGAGAAAAAAGGCTGGGTCTCCTCCAGAAGAGGGAAATTAATCTGGTGGGACTGATTACACAGTTATTTGATACCAAAACAGAAACAAACATCAGCCTCAGCACCCCAAATCAAATGAAGCAAGGCAGAGGTTTGGCAATCAAATGTACCAGCCCCTCATATCCTACAACAGACAAAACATGCACTGTATCAATTCTTTATTAGAAGAAAATGGTGAGCCATAATTACTCACCCTGGCTAAAAACAGCTAAAGGATATTCAATTAAACCATCAGGAAAGGCCAATTTGCCTCAATTCAATGCTCTGTCTAAAAAAATGTGCTTATTGCATGCAGAAAGTCACTTTTCATTTTTTTCCTGTTAAATCACAGATTTATATAGAAGCTATATGAATATAGATAGGGTTTGCATGATGAAAGTACATCTCAACCTTCCATTAACATCCCTGCACTGAATCAGTGATACAAATGCTAACACTGGAATAAGGCTCACTCTCTCTTAAAAAAAATTACAGAAGAAACCAAGGCCCCCCTATTTTTAATTCTTATCAGTAAGTTTCAAGTTCCTGACAGTGATAAAACAGAAGTTGCTATTTCTTTCTCCAAAGCCTGTATGCAAGCTAGTAGTTTTAGCTAGCACAGCTTCCAGCCAGGTGTTTCACCTTTTAAGGCATTTTCCACTTCAGCAATGATTTGATTGCATACTATAAATTGTATCTCAATGGTAGACAATGAGTTTAATCAGTTTGCAATTCTTAGCTACACTGAATGTCTACAATAGATTTTTTTGTTTCATTTTGACAGAAAACCATATTTTTGCACAGGTGATAATGCATCAGCAAGCAACAGAAAGCTAATGCTGTGATTTATTTGCAGTACACAGAACTAATGATCACAATACAGTTGGAGGAGATGGTTTTATTCTCCCTCATCACCTCAAAATGGTACATTTTAAGCAGCTTCATTTGCTCCTTTCCTCAACCCACACCTTCTTTTTTGGAGCTTGTCAGATGATCCAAAGTTTGATTTGTTTGCTGATGCAGTCACAGGGCTGGGCAGCTGACAGAGCGGTCCCTGGGGGGCTGCTGGAATATCAAACAGCTCCCTTCCTTCTGCCTTTCCCTAAAGGAGATGATCAAGGGATGCCTTCTCTCCCCATCTGCTATTCCTCACAAATCTGTGGGAAAGGAGCATCTGCCAAGTGAAGTCATCACCGACAGAGAGATTCAAAAGCTAATACAGGAAAGGACAGATAAAGGCAGATCTACTGCACTAACTGCATTTCCTGAGAAAAACTAGTGACAGAGAATGCTTGTTTCAAGATTAAGACAAATTTCCCAATGGTGAATTGAGTTTGAATTTCCTTTCAAAAAGATGCTACAGAATGGGTAGGAGAAAAAAAAAAAAGAAAAAAAGAAGAGAAGTTTGAACTGGATCATCTAAAAACAAAACAGAGCTGTGCATACCCTGTGAATGAAGAACCAACAATAAAAATATACCAACAGTCAGCTTCAGACCTTCAAAATATAAAAGAGCATATAAATACAAATAGCACAAGGAACACTCAGAAGTAAAGCATTCTCTATTTTAGTCTTCAGTGCTGTTCAAGGATATTTTAAAAATTTACCTGATTAATGGATAAGCCTAAAATAAGCCACCAAAAAGCCTTAAAATTTCCCATCAAGTGTAATATTGTATTTACTATTAACATGGTAAACAGCATCATCATTAGCATTTCTGCAGTAATATATATTCCCCTGTGAATGAGTCTCTAAGTAAATGTGTGCCATGCTGGGGAAAAGCTAATTTTCCCAAACCTTGAGCACAGTACAAGTGACTAGTCATGAGAATGGATCCTGCAAATACAAGACACAACTGTACTAAGACCACTGTGGTTATTCTTGGCAGCTTAATTTTAAACTCCTCTCTGCACCACTTTTGACAGCTGTTCAAGAGCTGATTAGCTGAGTGCAGACAGAAACCACCTTCACTGATGAGGTGAATTTGAGGTTTTATTCAGGACCACGATGATGTGGAGCAGTGCCTGCTCTGAAATACTGCCTTTGTCTCCTGATGGATTTTTCTGTTGAGCAGAAAACCTCAGAATAAACCACAGGGATTCTCTCATAGGACTGGCTTAGCAGCATGCAAGCCACTTTGCAGCTCACATCACACATTAATGGACCCCAGAGGAAAGCTGAAGTTCATAAACAGCTCCTGAGCTCCCAGGTGTGAGTGACAGAGCTCATGCTGCAGAGTCTGTGTCACTACAGAGCACGGCAAAGACCCCACCTAAACACCCTACACCATCCAGCTCATCAGTCAAGCTGCAAACAAATCAAACCACTATCTCATGTTCTTGCTTCAGATGCTTCCTCCTCCACCCCACCTCTATTTACCATGCTGACTTATAAATATGGGCCCACACCATCTTAGACACATTGCTGAATATTGCAGACAGCCCTGGAATGGCTGTGAGGGCTGGGTATTGCACTGGCTTTGGCCCAGAGGTGATGATTTGTAACCCTATCAACCCACTGCTCCACAAGCCTGCAATTTCACTTCTTCCAATAGAAAAAGGAATATGAGGGCTCCTCTCCTTTGCCCAAATGAGGTGCACAGAGCTATCTTTTATAAAGGAAACCATCATTTCCTTGCTAGAAAGAGAATCACCAAATTGTAACTGAGAGCTTAAGGCCAGCCAGGCATTTTGTAACCAGAACTGACAGGTGCACAGCTAACTGCCTTTTGTGAATCAAAAGGAAAGAATTACTAGAGTGAGGGAGGGAAACTTGACTCCATTATCTCTGAAATTATTCCATCTCCCTTTTGAGCCACTTAATGCCCAACACTCAATGACTTCAGTAACCAGCAGTCTTTCCAGATGGTCAGCAGAAGCACAAGAGGTTATAAAAGACCAGAAAAATACCAGTAATAGAAGTTCAGATACTCATGGCAACTCTCCTCAAAAAATGAAAAGAATTGCTAAATGAGTAGTTACACAAAT